AGATAGATAGATAGATAGATAGATAGATAGATAGATAGATAGATAGATAGATAGATAGATGGCATTCGGCTTTGTTCGGGTATTTTCCCACGTCATTGTAGTTGTTCTTTTAAAGTTGTAGCAACGTTTCAGCAGAATCTCATCTGCCATCATCAGGCTTCTGTATTGTGTCTGTCTGTGAGCCAGGCCCCCACAGTTGTTTCTGACTCACAGACACAATACAGAAGCCTGATGATGGCAGATGAGATTCTGCTGAAACGTTGCTACAACTTTAAAAGAACAACAATGACGTGGGAAAATACCCGAACAAAGCCGAATGCCATACGTGTAAGTACCCACAAAAACTTAAGAAAATATATATATATATATATCTATATCTATATATCTATCTATCTATCTATCTATCTATCATCTATCTTTTGGTTATTCGGGTTTTCTCCCGCGTAAAATTGGAAGTATCTAGACAACGTTTTGATTCAATACATAACAGTTTGAATGTTGTATCTTTTTTTAAACTATAGTAGATAAAAGCTACTTTGCTGGGATTAGGACTTGCTGGACTTCAATTTCCATTAGTTACCTGTCCTATTAGAAGCCTTGTATCTCTAAACTTTTTATCCTTAATGGTGGGGGAAAGGAGAAGTAAGTATGATACCCATTCTGTAGAAAGCAAGCAGAATGGAAGAATCTAGTCTTCCATGTAGAGAAAAACGCTACAAAGACAAAAGAGGGGGGAAATGAAGAAAGGAACTCTATCCCTTATGCCCATAGCAGTCAGTAGAATATATGGTGCAAACAGTTAATGCTTCCACATCTCAAACAAATTTGCCAAATAAGACAATAAAAGAAAGTAGTTCTTGTGGTGTTTATTTTCCTTCCCCTGAGCAATGTGTTTAGCAACGGATGGTAGTAATTAACCGCAGAGATGTTGGGGTAGAAGCAAATGGATTTGTTTGATGAGGAAGGAAAGAAGGAAGGAAGGAAAGAAAGTAGGAAAGAAGAAGTGACACAGTATAATTGCTATACTTTAGTAAGGAGTTGTGTTGCTTGTGAAGCAGTGCCAAAAGACTGCTTTGCATGAAACTTCGTGCAAGCTTTGCACAAGTTCAATCTATACATGATACAGCAAGCCGCACAAACACTACAAAGATAAGGCTTTGTATTCAAACACAGGAATCTGATATCTGCTCATTTCATTCCTAGAAATACAGAACTGCTTGCACAGAGTTTACATGTGCACGGAGATGCAAACAGTTCTGTAAATTTGCCAAAATTAGGCCATTTCTCTTTTTCTTATGAATGTTCACGCATGCACATTCATGTTACAGCCAAAGCTATGAAGAAACGGCAAGACGGTATCTTAAAGAGGCACTGTATATCAATAGGTTCTTGTAGAAATTTTGTATGCTGTCATAATCGGCATTACTGTAGGAAAACTGCATTTTCAAAGCTTGGGAAATCACAATAATACTTAATCGTGGCACTTTTAAGGATAAGCACGTTGCAATTTTTCTGGTAAAGTAGAACTGAAGGATTTGTATTTTATATCCCAAGAGCATCACCCACCGTTCCAATTACCTTGGTCCTTGTCTCTCATTCAAGTGAGCTTCACATTGACAATTCATGGGTTCTGCTCTAATCTTGATTGTCAAAAGATCAAAAGGCACCTCAGTGTAGTATTCTTTGATCCTGGGGTCAAAATTAGGATTTAAGTCCAAATGTGGGCTGGTGATGATCTGCCTGATATGAGGTAGTGTATCTTTATCTGTTTTACAAGGGAGGTGGGGGGAAGGAACCATTAAAATGCTTACATACATTAAATCAGTGGCTTAGCTCTATGTTTCTAATACTGTTGCATTCAATTAATACACCATTCCTTCTGTTAGGCAGATATGGCAAAATAACTAATACAAGATTTAAAGGATTTCCCCCCAAAATTTTAAAAAAGTTTCTCAACATGAACAGCCCCATAATGAGCTGTAGTAACTCTTTAATTAGTAGTAATAACTACTACTACTACTGTTAAGTATGGAGAATAATGGAGACCAGACATCTGACCAGTGACTTCAACTCTTTAATAAAGTAATAGAACATAACAGAGCAATGCTATGGGCAGCAGTAACCCTTTTATAGGGTTAGCTGCTGCCTTATTAACCAATGAAAATGTGCAACAAGTTCAAACTACTAACCAATAAGACTAGTCCCAAAAGTGGCCAATCAGGGACTAGTTCTGGCCCAATCCCAAGTTGTTGTATAAGGACCAATCTAGTGTGCAGGTTTTCAACCCCTAATTTGCATTTAGGTTATTCACTTTTATTGATTCACAACAACTACTATTTAAATGTCACCGTAACAGGACTTAGGTCCTTGGTTAGGATTTGAATGTTTAAGTTTTTACCAGTCCCAGACTGTGAATCGAATTGAAGTTTGAATCTTAAATAATATTAATATTAATATTAATATTAATATTAATATTATTATTAATAATAATAATAATAAATAAATAAATAATAATAATAATAATAATAATAATAATAATAATAATAATAATAATCAGATTCTCTCTTACCATGACTGCAATGCATTTCTTTAGCCAGATTTAAAATGTGCAGTTCTAAAAAATATAGAAACATGTTAGGATGGTTCATCATTCATCTACTGCATCTATCTGCATTTAAGAAAAATTTCATGGAATATCCAAAAATCTGAATAAAACCCTATCGGTACTGATATATACCATTTGTTTTCAAGAAAATATCTTTATTTTTGTCTACCTTCAGCTGGCCTTATAGAAGGTAAAGTAGGGTTGATAGATTCCTGATAACTAAAAGATTCTTGATAATAGCTATATTAATGATCAAAGCAAATCCTATAATGATCAGTGCCTTTAGCAGAGAAGGATGTGACAATTGGCTCATGAAATCAAGCAGCCATAGAAGAATCACAATAAATTCAGCTATGTAAAAGCACTTCTAAATAGTTTTATGTATTCATTCAACATATGAACAGTACACTTGACTTCTACTTCATAGGAAAAAAAATCAAAGGCTTTTTATAGTCAGCGGAAACATATGAAATATTTTCTGTGCAAAACAGTCCAGTTGGATATATATTTTGGCTTCTGAATGGATTTAATTTAGTGGCAAACAATATTAAATGAGTACAAAAAATTAATGTTACCTTTATCTTTTTCCTTGACGAGGGAGGATACCCTTAGTTGAATGTTGTCTTTTTCTGAATAAGAAATCCTAAAGGTTAAGTAACAAAAGAATGTCTTTGTAATTAGAAATTCAAGCACAGTCCAGTGAACAGAATGTCCGACTTCCAGCAGTGTCTTTTTTTTTTCATTTTTAAATGATTTTTAAAAAGTTTGTTCAAATGAGAATAGACTTCCAGCAGTACAGGCAGAATTTATTGTAGTCCACAATTTTATGATATGACTTGTACCGTTGCTATGATTGCTGTTTCTGATTTTGTATTCTGTTTATGGTAGTCCTCAATTTATGACTACAATTGGATTTATTGTTGTAAATTGTTATGGTCATAAGTCAAGGCACCCTTGTGACCAGACCTGATGACATTTTTTGGGTAGTCATTTAGTGCAGGGGTTCCCTTGGCCATAGCCCACTACCAGGCCATGACCTATTCGCGATTGTGCCGCCTGAATACACATGCACAGCTCAACTTGTGTGAGCAGCGGGCCATCGTGTGTGCCAACATACAGTTCAACTTGCACAAGTTGAGCTGTGCACGCTGGCCCACTGCTTGTTCAAGTTGAGCTGTGTGCACACGCGTGTGCGACGGCCTGCCATTCATGTGGCCTGGTTTCCCTGTCCCCCTATTGCGTCGAGCACAAAGATTGGGGGCCACTGATTTAATGAATCAATAGTGAGTAAGTGAATCCTGCAGTCATAAGTGTAAACCCATTTTTCTGAACTGCCACCCCCGCCGTTGCCAGCAGCTTAGGTGCCTTGGCTGAAGCACGGATTGCTCGTACACACACACACACACACACACACACACACACACACACACACACAAACACAGGTTGGAGAGCTCTCTCGCTCTCTCGCTCTGTCTCGCTGAGATGGCAGTTGCAGCCCTTCAGTGCCTGGCTGGCAGAACATTTAGGTAAGCTGGTGCAGGGCATGGGGGGGGGGCAGCTGCACACCCCCACCTTGCTACATCCTCCACCCCACCACCACCTCCCTTTGTGGCTGCTGCACCGGTGTCTTGCTCAGCCTCCCGCTAGGAGAGCAAGGAGAAGAAGTGGTGAAGAATGAAGAATGAAGTGAGGCAGCGGGTGGTGGTGGTGTAGGATAAAGCAAGGCAGTGGGTTCTGTGCTATATTATCATACTCCAAAACCTGACACCTGATTGGTCCGCACGGACCGCAACCGGATTGGTTGACTCAGCGGCTGTGATTGGAGCGTTGGGAATCTACTGCGATTGGCCGAGCCGATCGCGGGAGATTCAAAGCACTGCCATTGGCCGCCGAGCCGGGAGCAATCCCTATATGAAGGGTTGCTGCGGCTCCAGTTTTCTTGTACTGAGCTGAACTAAAATAAAGAGCTGAAAGTTACTATGGTCTCATGTCTCTCTGGGAACCGATCCACCCCGATCTAACAGGTTCAGAGCTGCCTCACCCGCCCTGCCCTGGCTTATCTGGGGGCCCCTCAGCCAGGCCACCCATGCCAAACCCTCGCCCTGCCCCAGTGCAGTTACACCCCTTCACTAACCAGCTTTTCAACTCTGTTCTCCATCGCCACACGCATGGCAACTAAAGTAGTTGCGGGACTACGGTAAAAAAAATAGTTCAGACCTTCCAACCTTGCGCGATCTTTTTTTTTTTTTTTTTGAACATCTGAACTATTTTTTTTTTACCCTAGTCCCACAAACTACTTTAGTTGCCTGCATGCAGCGATGGAGAACTGGGCCTGTGCATGCGCACATCTACCCAGGTTGGCATGGGCCAGGCTGAAGTGATGCAAGGCCGGAACTTTACAGTTTCCAGGATGGCCATGCAGGCTGCATCTGGCCTCATCACGGGCCGGATCCAGCCTGGGGGCCTTCAGTTTGACACCCCTGCTCTACATATTTACCTGAGTGAATGGGAATAAATGTTATTACTTTTATTCTTTATGAAATTGTACATCATATGCAATTCATGCAATTAAATTAATTGGATTTTCAAGGAGATATTACTTTAACAAATCTATCATTTCAATAGGAATTATATAAAAACAATAAGAACAGGTGATGTGAATGGATAGGGTGTTGTGGCATTGCCTGGTAAGCTATATCCAATATATATCCCTATATGCAGGGGTGGGATTCTACCAGTTCTATAGAATCCCTTGTTAATTTTCAAGCAGTTCGGAGAACCAGTAGTTAGAGGCAATCTCCTTTTGTTTTTCTCCACTCTTATTACATTCTTGGCAGACAGCCTAGACTTCCTCTCTCTGGAGCTTTTGGGGCTTGGCTTTCTTAAAGGGGAAGGGTTGTTTTAAGATTTTTACACTGCTGTTGGGAGGAAATACTTCCCTGGACAATCTGCACTTTGAAGAAATAATTGAATAATGAAGCAAAGCTTTTAGTGACAGGGAACTAAGATGAGTGACATTCAGCAAGACTTCTTGGCTAGCTAGAAGGATTGACATTCAAACGTGAGTTTACATACTTTCTGAATTTTGGTTTAAAACTGGTTTTTGGTGAAGGTTAATTCTGTGCTTGGTGAAGTTTAATCCTATGTTTATTGATGGGATAATTTTCCCTATTCAGCTTCAACAAGCAACAGCTACTGTTGTGATTTAATTATTTGTATTGTTTTTGAATTTTTTCTTGCCTCATGGTTTCTTTTTCTATTTGGGGAGGGGGGTCTTCCTTCACTGCCTTAATACGATCTGGCACTGTCCTTTTGGGGTATACTTCCAAGAGGCAGGATGCAAGCTTGGCACTGATTTTTTTTTACTACCTTTCTGGGGGGGGATGTGACCTTTCCTTAAATCTGGATGATTTCCTTAGGATATCTTGTGAGGTGAGTGAGACCAGCTGGTATTTTTAAGTGGTGCAAATGGATCTACGGATTGCTTTTCCTGAGTGTGCTCTTTCTGGAGAGCTTAAATGACCTCTCTGCTAAAGGGTTTCACTTTATGAGCAAGAGTTGGCTGCTGATAATTATCACTGCATTTTAACTATTTTAATTCCTCAAGGTGCTCTGGCACCCTGCCTGATTTGTAACTCCGGCTTGCAGGTATTTTTAATCTAATGATTGGTATTTAGGGCAACTTTTTGCAAGCAAAGAAGCTTTTTGTATTGTTGTACAGGTAATCCTTCACTTACAACAGTTCACTTAGTGACCATTCAAAGTTACAATGGCGCTGAAAAAAGTGACTTATGACCATTTTTCACACTTATGATCATTGCAGCATCCCCACTGTCATGAGAGGCCAGGCGAGGAGAAGCGCCCCTTGACATGAGTGATGTCGAGTTGGCCACACCCACCCAGTCACATGACCACCAAGCCACACCCACCAACTAAGCCATGCCCACAGAACCAGTTGTTAAAAAAACTGAATCCCACCCCTGCCTATATGTATTTTGCTATCATAATCGTACTTAATACTTACCCAAGATTTGACCATTTAGCTGTCATCAAAGGCTTATTTCTTGAACGGTTTTGCCTGTTGAAAAATTGTAATAAACAAAGAAAGGCCTTGTTACAATTTGTACTGAAGTTATCTATTTGCAGAAAGAAAGAAAGAAAAAGAAATGAAATAGAACAAAGTGATAAATAGATAAAACATTTAGAGTGCAATTTAGACAAACAAAGAATCTGGAATACTAATAATTTCTGTGGTATATACATAAACTGTACATATTTCAAAAATGTTAACTAATTATTGATTTTGGATGGTTATAGTAAAAAAGATTGTTTATTGTAGAATAAAGTCTGTTTCTAGATTTATTCTATGCCACTTTGTACTAAATTGTCAAATGCCTCTGAACAATTTATCATCTACCTAGATGATTAATTAAAGCATTAAATGTAGAGAACAAATCAAGCAAAGAATAAATCAAGCAATTAAAAATTAAAAATATGAGAAGGCATAAGGCAATAAATGCAGACATTTTTAAATTACAGTGGCAGAGTAATTAAATCTATTGAAAGAACTTGTTTCTTTTATACAGATGTTTTCTTTCCAGCAATTGGATAACTTCTTATTCAGACACCTGGCCAAATGGAGTTTTATTTCTATAACATCCACAGGGTATTTAAGAGTGCAATTTTCAGCTCATACTCAAAAGCCATCTATTACAGTAATAAATGTGCAAATGTAGAATTATACTTTTAAAGATAGCCAATTTAGGATCATCTTGTCAAAATTAATTTTATTTTGAAGTGTTTAAAATTAATAAAACCAGAAACAAATTTATTCATCATATGGGGATCATATGGTTTTCTGAGCTCTTAGACTTTGGGCTGATGCCATAATGTTAAGGCTTGCTGAGAGGTATAAAGAGTTAGGAGGTTTATCAAGGATTGCATTTCTGCAAAAATTACAGAACTATATCACAACAGTCTAAATTATTTGAATTTTTTTGTTAATTCCTCTTAGTATTTTTTGAAACGTAGGCCTTGATCAGTTTGTTCTTCCTTTTTTCTGATTCTCTCTCATTTATGCATAGCACCACAGATTTGGGGGAAAATAAAGTTTAGCATGATTTATTTATTACAGATTAAGACGCATACTCTGTTAATCTGTTAAAGTACTTTTTATTTGAGATTATTGAAAATGATGTCAAAACATGGATCTTAATGGATATTTTGATTCAGTGTTAATTTGTGAACAGTTGTTAAAATCAGGACAATTAATCAAAAGAATTGTCTAACAATCTCTTTCAGCCTGTAATAGTTTGAAAAGATAATGTGATAAAGTTGTAAACAAAAAAATATAATCAATATATTATCTTACATTTTTGGAAGGTTTGCAGATGCTACTTTGCTAATTCCTTGGAACTGTTTAAATAAACTTGAAAGGAACCAATGAAGAGCTAGGATGGAATTAAGCTTTTTTCCTGGGTTCACTATACGATAAAGATCATGCAGCAAAAAATGGATTTTAGGAACAGCAGAAGGGAAAAGCTGAAAGAAAAAGCAATTGGGAACAATAAGAAAATGTCCTTCATCCCAATTAAGAAGAAACATTACATAATCAAACGTATATGGAAAAAAGTTCACATTGGGAAAAAATTATTACAAAATAAAACCACAAATGTCACATACCAATTCAAACTGCCCTGGATTATGAATCCCTTTCACAAAGCTAATCAATGGATTTAATTCTTCTAATGTTAGGCAAAAATCAGAATTCTCCTTGAGATGGTCATCCTGTAAATAGATAATAGGAAAACCTTGGGTAGATAAGTAAATATTGATGTTTTGTTGCTGGGGCAGAAATGGCTATAGGGTTGTTTCACTTTGGAATGTAGCATTCATATCTAGGGGAATTGGTACAATTATTTAGCTTTTCATTAAAATATTTATGCAGGCATAATTAATATGACAAAAAGAAAATATTAGTAATAGAGTAGTACCACAGTATCGCTGGTCCTCTTCACATTCAGATATGCAATTATTTGCCAATTTTGTCCAAGCAACTTAAAATCTCTTAGGTGATTTAGAATGAAAGTATGGCTGATAATATCAAAAGCTATTGGCAATTATAAGCTAGTCACAGCTTTAATACTGAAAAAATGTGTTTGTTTGCAGAAGGTTGCCATGCCTCAAGCCCTACCTTAATTCTTGCTGATCGATATACATTCTGCATAGCTTCAAAGAAAGTGGAAGAAGATGTTTGATTTGATAACAGGATACTAAATGTATCTCTTAGAAGACTTTCTTTAACACTTTGGTCCTCTGAAAATGAATCTTCATCAGCTTGAAAATCAAAATATTCATGTACCTAGAATACATATTAACTGATTAAAACATTTAACCAATCTACTGATCTCAACATCTACAAATGCACAGTTCCATCAGAAAATGTTTATCAGAACAGAAGGAGAAAACGCATGCATGAACAGACAATACTTCTCCAGCATTGTATTTTCCTTTCTTTTTCCAAAAACCCTTTTACCTAATCACACAGGTCACCCACATCTGTTATTTACCTATGACAATTATGACATGCAAAGCTTACCTCAAGAACAGTAGGATAAAAAGTGTGTCCAAATCCAATATCAAAAGTTAACATCTGAAAGCAAGAACTGCATCTGAAATAAGGGAACTGAAATTAATTGATTTCATTTTTTTTAAATTAACCTGATACCCAAATATAAAAGATATAATGAATGTTTCAGAAACAAACCCTGCTAAGATGCTTCATGATGCATGTGGAGGGGGACGGCGGCAAGGGTGTGTTCCTGGGAAGGATGACCAAAGAACATCAGATGCATATACCAAGAGTTTATAGAATAGAATAAAATAGAATAGAATAGAATAGAATAGAATAGAATAGAATAGAATAGAATAGAATAGAATAGAATAGAATTCTTTTATTGGCCAAGTGTGGTTGGACACATAAGGAATTTGTCTTGGTGCAAATACTCTCAGTATACGTAAAAGAAAATATACATTCGTCAAGAGTCAAGAATCATCAGGTACAACACTTAATAATAGTCGTAGGGTACAATAAGCAATCAAATTATACTAGGAAACAGTCAATATAAATTGTAAGGATACAAGCGACAAAGTTACAGTCATACAGTCACAAGTGGGAGGGGATGGGTGATAAGGAGTGATGAGAAGATTAACAGTAATAGTAGTGCAGACTTTGTAATAGTTGAACAGTGTTGAGGGAATTATTTGTTTAGCAGAGTGATGGCTTTTGAGGAAAAAACTATTCTTGTGTCTCGTTGTTCTGGTGTGTAGTGCTCTATAGCGTCTTTTTGAGGGGAGAAGTTGAAACAGTTTATGTCCAGGATATGAGGGGTCTGTAAATATTTTCACAGCCCTCTTTTTGATTCATGCAGTATACAGGTCCTCAGTTGAAGGCAGTTGGGACACTCCAAGTATGAAAACCATTCCTAAAGCAAGCAGACACCTAGGTTGGGTAGCAGTGATATAGGAAAGTGCTGAATTCAAATGATCAGTTTAGGGACAATAGCCAAGGCATTATTTAAACAACTCCTGTAACTTGTCAAGAAAACCACATGACTAAAGAATATAAAGTGATTGATGATATAATACCAGATGATGGACATCACAGGTTGATTGGCACTCCACATGCTACTAAGGGAATGCTAAAGATTTTTTGGAATATTAATAATTAATAATGACACAGCAAGATTAAAGCCCAACAAGTATTTAGCAATAGCAATAACACTTAGACTTATATACTGCTTCACAGTGCTTTACAGCCCTCTCTAAGTGGTTCACAGAGTCAGTATATTACCCCCAACAATCTGAGTCCTCATAACATTTACATGTTTTTTTGCCATGAAGCAAAATAAAATCCAAAGTGGCAAAGACAGAATTACAGTAGGAACATGGAACATAAGAATTATCTGCAAATTATCATGCATTATCCTTAATTTCACATGCAAGCAAAATAATGCTAAGGATCATCAATGCTGATTTTAATCCTACACAGAAATGAAAATTCCATATGTTCAAGGTGGTTTTCAGAAAGGCCAAGGAACAAGAGATATTATTCTTGATGTTCACTGGATAGTAAGAAAGCCAAAGAATATAAAAAAGAAGTCAGTATTACAAGAAAGACTGGAAGACCAGTCAAATGTGGAGTGTGCTTTGTTTGTTATATTAGCATTTTGTCTTTCTTTTAGAATATGCATGCAGAATCTTTTTAGGTGGGGACAGCACTTGGCTTAGAAGAATCTATCTTCTTCGTTATTTATTTTATAAACATGCATTTCATCCTATGGGTATTGAGCAAAATTCCAGAGCAAAAGAACATTCTTTATAAATAATATAAGATATTATTAACTACTCTGCTGACTTATCATTCAATCCCAACCATTCTTTCACTTGAAATTACTTCTGGGTAAACCAAAGAACATTTCTTGGAAAATTGTCTATGCCACTTACTGGCTAGTAGTTTGTGGCTGAGGTAATGCTGCTTCGCTGAAAACCTCAGTTATCAACAAGAGTTTGCTTATTGCCTCTTTCATGTCCTCCAAAGCCTGCTGTGGAGAAGCGGCCCTCAAAAATGTCTGAAAAAATGTTTGCAACTGTAAAAGAAAAAGAGAAACATGCTTTTAAAACGTTCAAATATATATTTCTTTAACCCCAGGGAATTCTCAAAATGTAAGCTTAATCCTGCCATTTTCCACTTAGAAGAAATAGTAGACAGTTGACTATTCAATATTCTGGAAGCAGAGATCAAGTTCAAAGTGGTTTGGAAGGATAGTTTTGTTCCTTTACACAGTTGGCTTCAGACATACATGGAAATGAATTACAAGAAAAAAAGTATACATCTGGCATACATTTACATTAAATCAAGCTCTCTGGAGTTGCAGAAACCACTTTATTTTCTTTTTTGACAATGTAGGAGCTCTATAAACTATTATTTATTTCAGTCAGAGTTTTGGGGTATTTGGAATTTTATGATTTTCTTATTGACAATGGACAAAATCATGAAATGTCATATGGAAAGAGTTTGAAATACTCACAATGGAGGAATGGTTGAGGACAATGACCGAATTTGCAGACACACCAAAATTAGCTTGTTTGAAGAGGAAAAAGACAATGACTACATTTGTCAGTAATTGGAAACCTTTTATAGACTTCTTGCTGAAGATTGAAAAAAAACTTCTGATTTATGGGTTTGATAATTAGGAATAATAGAATGTGGAAAGAATGGAACTACAATATAATTTTAGAGAGAAAAGATAAACTATAAATGCATTCATGACTGCTATAAAAAAGATGACATG